TCGGTGACTAGTCGACTATCAAAATAATCGTTTGTGGCAGCCCTACTTTGAATGTCCCCGATCGTACCAAACTGGAACTCTGAGTTGATGAAGAAGCAGGAAAAACACACTTCCTTGACTTCAGGTTTAAAAAATTTATGTAACCTCTCGATTGTCTTTTGCATTGCAGGATGTTCTAAAAGAGTGCCAGGAGCAAATCGAGCGCGTGTTGGTGAGCAGCCTACGCGAAGGACGGCAGCAGCAACAGCAACAGCAGCAAACTCAGAGAGGCCCGAGTGGGAAAGGCCTGGACGAGCTGGATCAATCCTCCACCCCGACAGACGTCCGCGATGTCAACTTGTGAAGCAGCAGAGGGCATCATTGCACAGGATTTACAAAAACAAAAATAGAAACCAACAAAAAAAACTCAATTTTCTTAAAAGCAGAAAAAAAGAACAAAATGTAAAAATGTTAAAAACAAAAGACAGCAATGCTTGCTAGTTTATTTTTGTGTGTAGATTCTCTGTTCTACAAGTCGAAAACACCTGCTCGCAGAATAGATTTTCGATGACGTTATAGCATAAATGCATCAAATTTGATCCGAGATGAAGCTCTGTGATGCCTTGGATATCCAGAAGGGAAGCCAATCATATTTGCATTCTGCCTGATTGTATAGTATGATCGTTTAAGTTATATTTTAACTATAGATTGATAATGAGGCCGAGACGGAAACTATTTGGAAACTGCGGGATCACACTGGGGCTTCTATCGCTGCGTTACGAGTACTGTCACCATTACGTTTGTGGCCGCTGAACGAGCTCCTCGACTGTTGTGTGCTGAGTGTGCGACTGTGGGTGGATCGCATTATCAGGGAAGACCCGGGATGATGATAATTATCAGTAGTATTAGTAATTGTTATTATTATTATCATTGGACGTATTTTGAAATGAATAGTAGAGATCAATAAGCTCCTTTTGTCTGGCTGCTTGTGCGTCAGTTTGTGGATGCAAGCGTGTTTTTGTGTGTCTGAGTGTGTGATTCTGTGTCTGTTAACGGTGATTCTACAGCGAAAGGCACTTGAATAAAGTCGCAGGCTTACAGTTCTGTATTTAACGACAGCGGAGCGAGCCGAGGCTACGTATACTTCCTCCATCCGTGGAACTGGGCATCTACGCTGCGTCACTGCCGTCGTGCATTAACAGTGTGTCGTGGTTCATTGTTCTGCAACAATAAACCTGTGTGTGTGGACCACGAGTGAGACGACACAGGCCGTTATCTTTCTCGGAGGTCGTGTGAGGCGTTTGGTTATTACTGCCATTCCGTCGCTCTTTGCGATGACGTGTTTTTTGTGTCTGGATGGGACGTGCGCAGCGTACGTGGCACATGTGAGAGTCTTGAGGAAAGTTTCATTCTTCTGCGTCGGCGAGCGCAGAGCGAGATGAGCGCAGGCTGAGGGGGAGGCGCAGCACCGGGTGGCGGGACAGAGTTTTAGTTTTTAGTGGTGCAGAAGTTTGCTGCTGTGTAGGAGACGTGGCGGTGTACAGCCAGAGGCTGGAAGATGACGAACAATAAAGCTGGTCCGTGGCTGGCGTCAGGACTTACGTCTTGTAACGGATACAACGACACACAAAGATGTTCCTGGTTTTCCGTTTACATGGAAATGACGAGGAAGTAAGACCGTACGCTGCCAGGTCACGCGTTGGGGAATCTTTTGGGGCGGGGGGGTTAGGGGGGGTAGAGGATGACAATAACTGTCAAAGCTCATCTGGAGTACCGCATAGGGTTGTTTTCAACACCCCTGTATGATTTTAATGGCAAAGCACTTTGCAAACATGCTCCCCAGGAGATGATTAGATTGACGGTGATTGGAGGTGAATAGATGTTTCATTTTTTCCTCATTAGCCTTTTCTTTGGTTTACTTTGAAGGGCTGGTTTCCCAACCGTCAGTCATTTGCCTTTAAAGGAGGAGTCAAATTAAAAAAAGGCTTCCCGCGACGTTCCGTATAAGCACATTCCAAACAAAGAAACAAAGAAACAACATTCCCAGTCAAGCAAATTGCAAGTTGATTTAGATCCTGAACAAATAAGAGCATGAATTCACACAGCTTTCTGATCTGTGGGGTCAAGTCGATTTTCTTTTACAATGTCAAGAAATGATTTTGTTTTTACTTGAATTTTTCTTTCTATTTATCTGCATCACAGCCAGGGAGGCGGGGCGCTACCAGCAAGGGTGGTCTTAACATCCAGGTTTGCACATGTTCTTTAAAGGGCCATGAGGTTTGCAATGTTAAGATAAAGCAACGCCTTTGTTTAAAAAAGAATTTGTGTGGCAGTGGTTGGTCAGTTGTTGTTTTCTTGTTGTTTTCTTTTCCTTTATGTTTGTTTCTGTTTATGGTGCTGGCTTCTGTAGCGCCCGTCCAGGCCAGTTGTCTGTCAGTGAACACATTTCCCCGGTGAGCTTTGCTGCTTCGAATCATTAGCAAGGGGATTCATCTGCCAGGCAGACAGCAGAACAAAACGTGGCTTTGTCACAGCAAGGTGTCTTTGACTTCTTTTTATTGTTTTTCCATGACCATGTGTAACTTTGCTGAGTGTGAATGTGGGGATCGGATGATTTTCAGTAAAACTGAGCGATTTCATGACCCGTTTGCCAAATCGTCCCCCATCTGAATATTTGGTATGACCCCTTTATTTTGCCTGTTTTCCTGACGTAAGCTCTTTCCCAAACTTGTGATTCTTCCTGCAATATGTTGTTGCATATGTTCTATTTTGAGACCACCTTTGTCAATTTGTGTTTGATAATATTTTACGGGGCGACCAGACCCACAAAGGGTTTTTCTAAGACTTAGAGATACTGTATTCCAAAGTGAAGAGAGGACAGAGGAGGACTGAAGACATCGACAACGACAAAAAAAAAAAAAAAGTGTCAATATTTTATTGTATTTTTTGCGCTGCTAAAAGCTATGAATTTGTTTCATTTATACAAAAAAATAACATTACTTAGTTGTGATGTGTCACTTGAGTGTGCTGCTATTTTATAAACATTTGTATTATAATATAATTATTTTACTGCTTAAGAGATACATTCAGAAACCGAAGTAGATGGTGATAGAAGAACATGAAACGAGTATTCGACTGGAAATGTTCATTGTACAGTTTGACCGTTTGCTTAGATAGCATGTCTCGTTTTCCCCTTTATCTATTTTTGCTCTCCTTCTTCAGTCACATCCTGCCCATCGGTGATATTTCCGATACCTCAAGATTACTGGATTTTAAAAAAACGCAAATTCATCAGCTATACCTCTGCAGTTAGGGAGCCTGAAACGGAGGGGAAAGAAAAGAGCGACGTGTTCTGTCGCTGTGTTAGTTGGAAAACGACTCGCTCGGTGAGATGGGGAAACCGGAAATATGCAAGGCTTCCACTTGGACTCTTTTGGAGGGGGAGCGCCGTGACGTTGCAACAGCTTCTTTGAGGATTTTGTACCGCAGATAGTTCAAGCATGTTCACTACTGTCCGTGTTGGTGCTACAGCTGACTGTGTGCAAGCGAGCGGCAAAAACAGCATTCCTATGATGGCCAAAGTACAGTTCTTGCTTTATATAACCACAATCACTATGAATGTCATTAAATATCGATTCTGTATGTGAGAAACGTGCGTTTTGGTCTAAAGATATTGTGTGTGCACCACTGGAGCTGACCTGTGGCATCCAGTCGTACGTTTTCTGGAAGTTTCAATGGTGCAGATTTCCCTTCAAATCGCCCGCTCCCCCTCCTCTATAACTCATATCATGTACCTCAAATGTCTGTTGCACAACCTCTGTTCAATAAACGTCTGCTTTAAAGGGTGTGACACCACATCAGCTCACTATTTCCCCGGCCTGTGTTCCTTTCAGCTGTGTGTCTGTCTCCTGATCAGGACATTAGACTTTAACTGCATCAGTGATGATGATGATGAACGTGGGACGATATGCACTCATCCCACCAGAATTTCAAGCAGTTTCTGCAAATGTGTATGAACCTGTTGATCCAGTCATGCATAGTCACAAAACCAAAACGGGTTCTGCTCCTCCTCCTTTGGATCTGCTGCAGATTAAAAGAACCACAGCTGATGTGTTGGATGCAGTACCGTGTACGGCGTCTGAATCCTGTAGAGCTGCAAAATGTGAGGTGTCGTGCATCTCATGGATGCTTGAACTTGGATGCAGGGTCCCTTCAGGGAGAGATGGCAGAGGCGGGGCCTTGGAGCCAGTACCAGCGTTACAGTATCTGCTAATAAAGAGGCGGGTAAAAGGAAATACAATTTACATAACTGGTGATTTTAAAAAAACAAAAATAATGCATTGAAAGCCATGCAAGACTAAAGTGCAACATAAGACTGGGATACAGTGTAGCCAACAGTAAAGAGTAAAGTAACATAAAGACCTACAAATGTGATGCGTTGTGCTGCCTGTAGATTCCTGAGCCGTGTGTGTCCTGCTCAGGCAGCAGCTGCTGTTGGAGAAAAGGGGGAGGGGGGGATCTATATGAATGTCAGGAGTTTCCCAGAAGAGGCACACAGTAACAAGATCATATTAATCACTTCTCTGGTCAGTGGGCTTACTATAAAGGCACATGTGGCGATATGCTTTTCCACATGTCGGTGCAGTCCACATACAGCCATAAGTCTCAAACTCAAGCCAGTATCTGTCTCTCTTAGTCTAATCTTTACTACTTATCCTCCAAGATTTCTAAAAGTCTTATTTTTAATTATAACCATAACTATACATTTCCCCTTTTAAATATTCAGAGAAAGCAGCTCTTTGTTCAGAACAGTCATTGGACTTTTTGCACTTAGTTCTCATGTAGTGTGTCACAAATCAGCAGCTACAGTGCTCAGCAAATTTAATAGACAACCTTTCATTAAAGCAAGAAAATGTGTATTTTAGAAATCTGTTAAAAACTTGTTCAAAATCTAAATATTATATTGTTATTTATCAGGCAAATAACAATCCGAAATCCAATCACAACAACAGTCGCCTCACAGTGCTTTAT